TTTTTAAGGGGGGGGGGGGTTTTTTTTTTTTTTTTTTTTTTTTTTTTTTTTGAGGGGCAGGGGAAGGGGGGCAACACTTCAGAATCAAAATGGCTTGTAGTGTTATAATTACAAATAAAATGCACCACAAAATTGTTTGGCGAAAATTTGCTCCATTGGCTTCCACAAACAAAAGCAACCACCTGCCAACCATAAGGCTTTCCAAACCAATGAAATTTGTCATGTAATCTATGAGAATCAAACATCATTTCGAAGAAACAAACCACAATATAATAACTACAAAAACATGGAGACTTAAATAAAATTAAGTAGGATTATGCTACAAAAACAAAGAGGATTAACACTGAAATACCACAACACATTATGCTATAACAGTCATGTAAGATAATGATTTAAAGAAATAACCAAATACCACAATAAATAGGCTAAAAAAGATGTAGAGGCTTGAGTAAAAATAGGTACCCGCAAGGTCCATCTTTAGCCTGCACCATCTCACAGATAGTGCTCTTTCTTTCCTCCGGCGGAGGCATTGATATGTCCTTCAGTAACCGACTCTTTTTGTCATCCAAGTCCTCTTTCGGGTAACTCTGCCCCTCCACCAATGTACAAAATTCCATAGGCACATAAATCTCTCTCCCCAAATCTAAACAGGGAATATCCTTGTACATAATTTCCTTCCTATATGTCTCCCTGAAATATCCGACAAGGCCAATTTCCCTTGGTGGATGATTTCCCTCTGAATCTTCGAGAATGAATGTAATATCTCGTGTATTTTTTCTGCTTAACCCTGCTATCGTGTACTTCTGTGGGGTGACGCGGTGAGTTACATCAACTTTCAGTCCTCGTAATGCACTTGCCACTTCACTTTCCAACCTTTTGACATCACTTACTTTTAGGAAATTCCGAACATGTTCCTTAAGGTACTCTATGACTGGCAATCGCTTGCGCAATGCCAAAACTGAATAATCCAAACATAAGACTAGACCCTGTGAGGTGAGCATTAGGCTTTGTTCAAAGCCTCGAAAAGCAGCACCGCCACAACGGAGGTCATCTTCCGCCCTGAATTCTTTCGAATAAAAGCTTCGACCAACATTGATCCTATGCCTCAAAGGATTCTCCTTCATTGCCAAATCCATCCCTTGTAATACATTGCGAGGGATACACTCAAGCTTCCCCCTTACGTAATCCTCTAGATTGGAAAACTTCAGCTCATTTACAAACTGATCTGTAAATAAATAGGGACGACTCTTCATCTCTTCTCCACGAGTCAATTCCACCTTGAATTGCCCAGTGGGCAATGGCACTGCACTGAAAACGTTCTTTTCACCATCATAAGCAGTCTTTTTCTGAGGGAATCGCGGATCATCAGAGGATAGCTTGTCCTTGATCAAACGACGATCGGATTTTGGAATGAATTTCTTTGCAGACCAATTGCTGGCAGACGTATCGGGTTTAATATTCACATCATAGTGTAACACCGTTCTCTCCCAATCGACTTTGACATGAAAATGGTTGACAAGAAGCCTTACTGACCTAGTTGTAAGCTTGCCACCTTTGTCAGGCCGTTTCATGGGCATAAGTGTGTTCTCCTTACTTTCCAAAAGAGTTGATTGAGTCTTCTTTTCTGAAATTTGCAATGACTGCACATCTGGAATAACAAGATCTGTGTAGAAAAATGAAACCCATAATTAACTCTATAACCATACACAGAAACTACCTGTGAAAATCAAATTGCAGGTGACACTAATGCTTTTCCTTTTGGTGTCTTAATAGACCAATGAATTTCATTCAAACAAAACAAGTACCTCCCCAATAATACAAACAAGGTAAGACACCAACTTCAATGAAATCATGATCATTGCACTTGAAAAACAATAAAACCATCATCATAGAATGGATCAATAAATTTCTCAATTAAAAGTCTTTGTTTCATATCAATAGATTTATACAATCTTACAAAATTATCAAACAAGAACAATATGATAACCAACATGTACAGTTCCAGCCCAATTGCTCTAAAATATATATAATAAAACAACTCATAATTCAAATTTCAAAAGGTAAATAAAATGACTTTTACTTTTCGCGATTTAGATCGCTTTAAATTTTATTTTAAAGTTAATCTAACGACTAATATTAACACTCTAAATTTAATAGAAAAAATAAGCCCTAAAGGTGTGTTTGAAGTGACTTTTTAAAAGTATTTCTATGAATTATTTATCATAAATATTTTTAAAAAAAATAGTATTTGAAACCATCCCACCACTACCTCCTCCACCACCACCACCATTGTCGCCACCACCACTGTTGTCATTGCCACCACCTTCGCCACCGCCGCCATTATTTTCATCTCTGCCGCCGCCGCCACCGCCACTACCACCACCACCATTTCTATCGCCATCGTCGTCACACTGCCACCGCCATAACCACCGACGCCGCCACTGCCACCACCACCATCGCCGCCACCGCCGTCATTGCCACCCACTACAACCATCACCATCTCCTATCACTACCACTGCCGCCCACCACTTCTCACCCCACTACAACCGACGCTTAAATTTATTTATTTTTCTCATATGTTTGTGATTTGATTTTAAATATGAATACAAATATATTTATTATTTACCATTTTTTATTACTTTATGCCTTCAAGCACATGCAATAGCTAATTCTTCCATATAAAACATAATATAGACTATCCACACACAAGAACAGAACTGTCAATATGTCGTGTCATGTCGAATTCTTATGAGTCCGGGACTCATACCTAACCATCTATAATTGTGTATTATGGGCTCCGTGCCTGTGTGCATAATAGATTCACAAGTTTACAACAAATATAGACCCATTAATTCCAAGTCAATTTCGTGTTAAATTCGCATATTGTATTTAGAATTGTGAGCCACAACTATGAACACATACATATTCACATTAAGATGTAAAGAAAAAAGTTAAGAGGAATACTAGGAATCGTTTGATCAGGAACCCTCGGAGACGGAGACGGAGACGGAGACGACCCAAAAATGAGTGCCCAAGGCCTCCCAGTCCACACTCCTCTTTCACCACCTGCTGGTCCCACAACAGACCCACCTCTCCCATGCCCTTCACTTGGTTCGACCCTTGTAGGCCCCAGACCCTGATCATTCCGTAGTTGTGGTGGCCTGTACGCGCCACCACTCTGACCTTTTTCAACGGGGCAATTACCCCGCTGCTGACCACCAATCTGGGTAGGAACCCCACCCCCTCCTCTTCCGCCATCACCCCCTTCTCTTCCTCCACCACCACCACCACCACCTTGATACTGACCCTGCTGATGGTGCTGGTGACGTTGGTAATTCCCACCTCTACCACCACGATTTCCTCCTCCACCACCGCCGCCACGACCACGACCAGAGCCACGACCACGGTTGTCGCTACCTGTCTCCATTGAATCAGCAAAAACAAAAGATTTTCTTTAGTTATCTTCTCTCACTACTCAAGTAAACTGGGAATGCTGTGCTTTAATACAGAAATCAACGTGGGTGTGAAATGACGGAAATGGCCTTTCGTGGTGATCAAGTGTGTAGCACTTCTATCAGTGCTTGTCGACGTGTCATTTGGGAGAATCTGGGAAATTCCGGAAGGTTCGATAAGGGGTTGGCTTTCTGTGAGGGGGTGAAGAAAGTGAGAGGAAGGGACGGAGCAATTGATGAAGTAGGATAACGTGTATGACCAGTAAATGTAGTTGTTTTAAATTTATATTTTGATAATATTATAAGGCCATGCAATTAGGAATTTATTTTTTATAAATTCTTTAATCCCAACCTAATTCGTGTGGATAACATACCTGTGATTCAATCGAAAAATAAATTAATCAAAATATATATAAGTCGATATGTGAATAAACTTGGGATTAGTGGAGAACTAATTCTATATTTTTGTCATCCGTTGGGCTTATTTTCAAATTAATTTGTTATCGACACCACCAAGCGGTAGTTTTAAAAATTTCAGTAAGTTCGATGAAAAGGGTGGGGTGAAGAAAGTTCGCGGAAAATATGTAGCAATTGGTGATAAATAGTGTCATCAATTGGTCAAGCGGTGTCATCAGTTCTCACTCATCATAATATTCTCATTTTATGAATTATTTATTCTTTTTCTTCTATATTACAATTAAGAGTGTTCAGATCAATTTACGCCTATTTTAATTAATTCTCTCTCCAGTCTGGTCAAAGATAAACCATTCATATTGGAATTAGAGAATTCTTAAGAGATAAATTTTTCATTGACTAAAATCCTGACCCCAAACGAGTTGTTAATTTTCGAACTTATTTATTTAGTCATGTAAGTTTTTACGTGAATATTTGAAACAACCACAATATTGCGCCCAACAATATCCCGATTGGTTATTTAAATTTTATCATTTTATTTTGAATTCGAATGTTGATAAATTTAAATTTTTTGTTCTATTTTTTTTTTTTTTGTATTCACGTCAACACGAATATATTTTTATAATTAAATTTATCACTCATAAATTTGTTCCAAATTAGCCATCCATCCGATCTAAACATTATAAAATAATTAAAAAAATTCCTAATACTACAAGAATTCGGACAGTACTAGATAAGGAATTAAAAAAAAAAAGGTATAATATTTTATCTATAAAGTAATCCTTAAATATGTTAATTTCAATAAAATTGAATTACTTTATTTTGACACCAATCTGTTCTTTTTTGTCATTTGCGCTAATTGATTATCTTTTTAAGTAAGGAGAAAATATTAAGTTAAACCGTTATACTATGTCAATAATGTTATATAGTACAACTTTTCATTAATACATGAGCAAGTGAACCCCACAAAATTTAAATTCCTTTTATAATAATATTACATCATTTAGTAAGGATGTTAATCGTATCTAGTGGTATTAATCGAGATGAATTCGAGTCTAAATCGAGTTAAATTTATATATAAACGAGTTGACTCGTTTGACTATTTACAAATAAACGAACTTTAAAAATTATTCAAGTTTAACTTGTTTAATAGTCCTAAGCGAGGGAATAATTTCGTGGAAGTTGCATCCTTTTCCTTCGAAGCTTGGTGTTGGTGAATCAACGTCATATCCGAGAAGTCTAAAAAATGTGGGCCACCTAGAATCATAGACATGGACTTTCGGTTCTTCTTTTTTTGTTTCCTCCAACTTTTTTAATCGTTTAATATTCTCTCTCCCACATATAAAAATATTCAATTGACATAATTAATGAATTTTAAAAGTTAAATTAAAATTTTAATTAATACAAGAATTATAATTTAAAATTAATTAAATATATAAAGACTATTGAATCAATAAATCTTATTTACAAAATTAATAAAATTCACTCATTCACTCATTCACTCATCGTGTTTAATTTAAATGTCTTTTTAGAATTTAAATTTGAGTTGCAGAGTAGTTTCGAGGAAGAGGAGGAGAAATTGACGATGTAACGTCATCAATGTGAACACAAGGAAAAAAGAAAATGGTTGGGGGAGGGGGGGGGGGGGGGCCG